GCGTCTCTTCGCGACGTCTGGGAGATTTTTAAGCAAGTTGAACTTGATTCTATCCATTCCTGGAGCTGAGTTGTTACATGAGAGGAGAGCAAGTGAGAATTCCACCATCGAAAACGGGGAATCTATTTCGTTACTACCCGACGGACGATCACGAACGTTGGTTTGAACCGACACCGAATCCGGGCAAACTTTCCGCGCGAAGCTGAATATCCAACTGTCTGAGTACTCCTTGTCTTCGTTGACCGGTGATGACGCGTTTCGCATTCTCCTGCCGACATTCCAGAGCGTTCTCATGGAAGTCTCGCGCGACAAACCATCGACGAACCGACGCCAGTAACCGCGTTTTTTGGCTTTAATCAAGCCCTTAAAAGTGTTCTCGAGGTCGGTGTACCATTCGAAATCCTCGACCTTACCGTGTTTGCGGAAGCGTTTAAACGCGGCGGACTTCTCGCTGTTCGCGTCGGTGCAATCCTTATCCCACCACGGAGTGAGAGGTCGTTTGCGAACGAAAACACCCGGAACGCGTTTCGTCTGTGCTTGAAGAGCACAGTCAACGATAAGTCGTGATAAAAAGGAGTACTCATCCAGCGGAAGGAGTATCTCAACCGAATCAGTACCACCGAGAACCGCGGACGCAAATTTTTGCCAGTCGATGTTTTTCGTGAGGTCGTACGCGATGTCAACCGAGCGAGTGGAAGATGAACCATTGGTAATAGAAATTTTGATTGGCAAGTGGTCACTACCGTAGGGATCTTGAATTACTTTCCACGAGCAATCCAACGATAGTGAACTCGAACTGAGGGAGAGGTCTAATCTACTTTCTCTTGCTGGAGGTTTGGCCACTCGTGTTACTTCCCCAGTGTTTAGAATTGTCATATTGAAGTTATCGCAAAGGTCGTATATCAGGGTTGAGCGGTTGTCATCGTACAGTTCCCCCCAGCCTGTACCGTGGGAGTTAAAATCTCCTAAGATCAACCGAGGCTCAGATAAAGCTGAGCAGATATCAGAGAAACCTTGGCGAGAAATCGCAGTTCTTGGAGGAAGATATACTGAGGCAATACTGAGGCTTTTACCTCGAATATTTACCTGACATGCGACAACTTCAATGCCTGTCACGGAAGGCAGATCGATTCTTTAAAAGGAATGGAGCGAGAAGCACCCCTCCATACGAATCTGCTCGATCAAGGCGAATAATGTTAAAATCGTGGAAACGGAGATCGGTGTCTGAAGAAAGCCATGTTTCACAAAGAGCAAATGCATCACAAAGTGAGTTGTGAAGTAAAAATTTGAATGTGTCAAGTTTCAGTATAAGACTTCTACAGTTCCACTGAAGAACAGAGATCATATCTCAGACCTCATTCGGAAAATTATCATCAAAGGATATGATCGACGCAAGGAAGGACCACCTAGAAGCTAGTTGCTTCAAAAGAGTTTTCACAAATGGAAGCACTAAATTAATAATGTTCCTAGTTGAGTCAGAGACGTTGAATATATTGAAGATGCTCTCCACAATTCCAGAAAACGTGAACATGGTATCATGTTCTTGCTGATTATTCAGCTGTTTTTCTGGCTGAAAAACTGGGATATCTGGGGTTTTAGATGATCCCGGAAGTGGCGGAAAGTCTTTGTTAAAATTACAAACTTTAAATCCCGGTGGTGGGGGTTTTGCTACATTTCCGCTACCTCTTAAATTTGACAAGGTAGGTTGAGAGTCCGTACGAGAGGCCTTACGAGGTTTTTGGGTGACGTTTGTTTTGGACCGCTTCCTCGTGTTGCCATTAAAGACAAAAGGACTACTCTCACCCACCTCTGAGTCAGAGCCCTGATCATCATCTGGCAGGAGGTGGAATGTGTTGTTGCTTTTTGGGGTGGTTTGGGAAGATGAAGCGGTCGTTTTTAAAATTTCTGCTAACGAGCGCTTAGAGCGAGCTTGCAAAGACCGCTTTAGTTTTTCTCCCTGCTGTTTGTACTTCGGGCAATCACTCAGAGCATGCGGAGCATCCTTACAGTAAACGCATTTTGGGGTAGCATGACAAGGACCCTCCGTATGCTCCTCCCCACATTGATCGCACCACGGTTTGTTGGAACAAAAGTCCGCGGTGTGACCTAGTTGTTTGCATTTCAAGCAATTCATTACCCTCGGTACAAACAAGCGTACAGGTAGTCGAACCTTCCCAATTGTGACGTAGTCAGGTAATGCCGATCCTGAAAAGGTCACACGAAACGAATCTGAGAGGGTATACTTTTTGTTAGTGCCTATGAGCGACACTGACTGCAGTTGAATGCAGTCCAGTATCTTGACTTTCGGGAGGGCACGGTTTTTGAAAATGCCGAAAGATTCGACTTGTAGGAAATCCAAAAGGCTGCTTTTGATCGAGTTGATCATGCTATCCTGCTAGCTAAACTGGATAAGCTTGGTGTGTCACAGGGCTTCGAGCATTGGTTCAAGTCTTACTTGACAAATCGAGAGCTCTGCGTGAAAATCTCTTTCACCAATACATCCGGTGTCCCTCGAGGCAGCAACTTAGGACCGTTGCTATTTTCAATCTTCATTAACGAGGTTGGATTGATTATTCCGGCTGGCTGGCTCTCTTTCTATGCAGATGATGTTAAGATTTATGTTGGAGTTTGAAACCTTACTGACTGTTTACAGTTACAACATATGATCGAAGACTTTGAGGATTGGTGTTCCAGGAACTTCGTCACGCTGAGTATTCAAAAATGCAGCATCATCTCTTTTCATCGCAAGCAAAAGCCAATCAAGTTCAACTATACAATCAACAATGAACCTTTGCAACGTGTGAGCAGTATCCGCGATCTAGGAATTACGCTTGATCCTGGAATTACATTCAAGCTGCATTATTCTGAGATCATCGCTAAAGCAAATAGACAACTCGGGTTTATCTTCAAGATTGCTGATGAATTCCGTGATCCAACATGTCTGAAAGCACTGTACTGTTCTCTCGTGCGTTCAATATTGGAATTTGAAGATGTCATCTGGTGCCCATACCAAGCGATTTGGATAGCGAGAATCGAATCCGTTCAGAAAAAAATCGTACGTTATGCATTACGCCACCTCCCATGGAACGATCCTGCCAATCTCCCACCATACGAACATCGCTGCCAACTTTTGGGCCTTGATACATTAGAACGTAGACGGCACTATCGCTCAGGCAGTGTTCGTTGCTAATTAGAAATTTGTGCTCCTGAACGACCATTGCGGACAAGGAATTTCTTACATCTTGGGACGCGCGCAACAAATTATGGCCTGCATGATCCAATAAGATTCATGTCTGCTAGTTTTAACAGCTTCTACGAATACTTCGATTTCAACATTTCTGCGGCTGCGTTTCGTAACCGAATTCAACGCACGAGGGATGAAATCTACTGAAAATTGGAATAACTCGACGTGCAATGATGGGCAAAATTACTCTTTGCAACAGGTGAGTAGCATTCCGATGCTCTCACAGGTTAAATGTAGGCAAAATGGAAGAAATGCCCTGATTCCGTGTCCGTTTCAACTGTGCGGGTGCTGATGGGCTCCATCAAGAGAAAGATTCGAGATTTCGTTCGAACTGGAGAAATGTAACTATCTAATGCTGTAACTTTGAAGTTTTAATAAAAGTACTGTAAAGCAACCATTAATGGACTTTTTAAACTGATTGAATAACGAATTACAGGCCATTTTGTGCGTACCAATTAATTTTAAGTCAGCCTTTAACATACGTTCTCTCTCGCTGGTGAGTCAAAGCGGGAGTGACATAAGTTCCTTTCAATCTCAAGCAAGAAAGTTCGCTCGGGAAATAACGCATCGCAGAACTGCAATGAATAAATTCACATGTCCAGCTGATCCCTCGCTAAAATAACCAAAGCTTTTTGATCATTTTTGATGCAAGCGAAGCCTATTTGATATAGCGTGATAGCTGTTTCATCGTTCACCTTGAATTAATTCATAACTAATTAAACCATAACTTTTTAAGAGTTTCTAAGAGTGTTTCCACCGTTGTGAATTTTCCAATCAGTTCGAATCTTTAACGATAATGAAAATACACGAAATTAGAAGTCGTCTGTTTTGATCATCCACCACGGCAATTTCGGTAATCTGCTCACAAATTGAATTTTCCAATTACCAAACTCCAAAATCACGCTTAGTCCCGATTTGCATACGCTTACGTTCAAATTCCTTTGCCGAATGGAGAAAAAAAAATCCAAAACAGAAACAGAATGCGATCAAATTTAAGCATCATCCACTCGTGCGTGTGCGTCGTCGATGTCGCCGGTGTGCACCAATGACTTTATTTGTCATCGTTAAACCTCCAATCACCGCTCTCTTCCGGCTCAGCTCATCTCCCTTCAGGCTAGGAGCTAGGAAATTGATTCAACATCAAAAATGTTTCCATTTTTTTCGCCACCCACCGCTCCAGTCGAGCGTGGAAAAATCTAAATATTGCGCCATTTTCCGCGAGCGAGAAGCAATTTACATAACAATCAACGGCATGACGCCGTCGACGGCGCGCTTTCATCGCTGTTCTCTTTTTTTTTTCGTTTAAGCCTTCAATAGAAATCCTTGTCCTAGGGAGCGTTTCATTTTTGCCCCAAACTCAGCTCCACCCGTCATTCAGAATGTCTTCCATTCTGTTTTTGCGTGCGTCATGGCTCATCTGCTCTGAAAGCCATATTCCCATAACCCCTTTCCACAAGCATGGGCAAGCCAAGTGGAAAATTATGAATAAAATTATGTCCATATCCGGAGAAAATCGCTTGTTCTATTGTTTCACCCAATTGGACGTCGCCATCGTCGTCAATTGTTTTTTTTTTTTCTTTCCGCGTGCGCTCAAGCAACGGAGAAAAAGTTCAATCCTCCGTCAAGGCCGGAAACTTTTACACTTAGCGGCAGTTATCATCGGTGCCCTCGGTGGGATTGATGGCAACGATTTTAACCGAAATGACGACTGACTGACTGACTTCCTTTTTTCCTTTTTCCTTTTTCTTTTTTGCAGAATGTCCGCCCGCGATGGACGGAATGGAACGATTTGCCTGCCCAACGCCAGACAGACAGGGTCGGTATCGATGTATAGACGACCACGTGCTCTGTGATGGGTTTATCGACTGCCCGGAGGGCGAGGACGAGGACCGGCAGGCGTGCATGTTCTACAAAACGGTAAGTGGGAGAGTTTTCAACTTGCTGAAACCTTTTCTTCGACAATGCTATTCTTCATGGCGGTGTTTGGTAAAACTTTCGATTTTCACAATTAATTGATTATGTTTAAAATGATTATATTTTAATTGAGAGTAGTGGATTCATTCTAATGTTGACTAGGAGTGAGAGGGGCTGGAGTGGCCAGAGCCGGAGAAAATACGGAAAACCCGGGAAATCACAATCTGAAGGACGAGTAACAAAAAAAAAAACGCGTGCGAATCACTTCACCGATTATTCAATTGATTTTTAATATTCCAATTCAATACAAGTTTGTTGTAGGAAAGAGAATACAGTATATGTAAAGAAAAGAGACAAACTTATCGATCAATAACCACTACAGGGGATGCTGCAGGGGATAACTGTTCACATCTCACTACGTCCAGAGATTTCGCTCGAACATAATCCGCCCACCAAATTCCCTATAAGAATTTCCAATCGAAGTCTTCTTGGAACATACTCATCCTGATCCAATGGTATGGCTCTTATCTTCCTGATATCGCGACGAGTAGTACCAGATGCTGTTCGGACTGATACCACTCTGATTGCTCCATCTGCTCCTGGGAAGGTTTCGATGATTCTACCCGTAGGCCATTGCTTTGGCTTCGAATTGTCGTCCACTAGTAGAACGAAGTCGCCGACCGAAACGTTGTGGGATGAACGTTGCCACTTTGCCAACCGCTGCAGAGATCGCACGTATTCTGTCTGCCATCTAGTGCGAAATTCTTGCGAGAGACGCTGAACGAACTGCCAGCGTGACATCGAGCTAATTTGCCGCTTCAGCAAGTTGACTTCGGGAACGGTGGTGAGTGCACGACTGATTAGAAGGTGAGCAGGAGTGAGAAGTTGAGCATCGATAGGGCTATTGGAGATCGGTGTAAGGGGTCTCGAGATCATGGTGGCAGCAATTTGAGCTATCAGCGTGGACAGTTCTTCGAAGGTAAAGATGTAACTGCTGGTGATCTTCGACAAATGCTGCTTAGCAACCTTGATCGCTGACTCCCATAATCCTCCATGGTGTGGAGACCGAGCTGGAATGAAGTTCCATTCCACTCCCTTGTCGGTTAGAAAGTCGACCACTTCATCGTTGTGTACAGAAGAGTTGAGTTGCGCGTACATTTCTCGAAGGTGCTTAGCTGTTGCTCGGAAGTTCGTTGCGTTGTCCGAGAACATTTTCGCTGGCAAACCGTAGCGGCTGGAAAATCGAGTGAATGCCGCTAAGAACGCTGCAGTAGTAAGCTCAGACACAGCTTCCATATGCACGGCCATTGTTGTAAAGCAAACAAAGAATGCGATGTACCCCTTGCTTTGTTTCGCACCTCTGGTCCTACGTCCAACAATGCTGACTGGACCGGCATAGTCCACACCAGTAATCGCAAATGGTGGATTTGGTTGAACTCGATCAGATGGCAGCTGACCCATTTGTTGATGCGTTGATCCTCCGGGATACGGCTAGCAGTGTTTGTGGCCCGCAGTGGTGATGGACGATGTGGTCATGATTTAACAGATAAGATGTGAGGATAGAATGGCGAGGTATCAATATAGGATGTCGAACGTCGTAGCTGAGACTTGACTGTTGTAGTCTTCCGCCCACCCTGAGCATACCCTCTTCGTCCAGGAATGGCTTGAGTTGGTGCAAACTGCTGTGCGAACTAGCTTCTCCTTGCTGCCGCAAACGACTCAGCTCTTCACGAAAGTGCTGTTGCTGAACGTGGCGAATGTAAACTGTTTGGGCTCGATCAAGCTCCCGTGGTAACAGACGAGGAATCGATCGAGAGTCAGGAGACCTCAACCGAAGAATACGAGCAGTGACCCGAAGCAGCATCGTGAGATCGGGATAATATCGTGCCATCATTCCATCGAGAAAGTCATTTTCATAGAGAGTGATGAGAGAAACGGCTACTGCACCAGCTCTTTGCTCCCTATCAATGTGCTGTTGGTCAGTGTTGGTCAGTGTAGGGATGTCGGTTGAATCACATTGCTCACCTATGGGGCTCCATGCAGGACCATTCCACCACAGACTGTTGTGCTGAATTTGTTCTGGCGATGCACCGCGCGAAATGAGATCAGCGGGGTTTTGCTCCGATGCGATGTGGCTCCAATTGACTGCTGGTAGGTGCGTGGTCGTATCTCGAAGAAAGGTTGATTGATGGCGCTTGTTACGTTGTTGATGAGTCGTGCGAGGATCACTGCAGCACATAACTCCAAACGTGGCAGAGCCGTTCGTTTATTTCCAATTGGCGCAACCTTGGACTTTGCGCAGAGTAGATGCGAACTATTATTCCCAGCATCGTCGATCGCCCGGATGTATATGCAGGCACCCATGGCTCGCTCGGATGCATCACTGTAGCCGTGCAGGAACATTCGCGACGTCCTGTTAGTGCCGATAACTCGTCTCGGAACCTGAAAGGAGTTGAGAAGGGCCAGACCTTACACGAAAACTTGCCAGATATTAGTCAACTCACCAGGGGGAATAACATCCCAGTCCACCTTCAGTTCCCACAAATGTTGCATCAGTAGCTTCGCTTTGATGATGATAGGCGCAAGCAGACCGAGTGGGTCGAAAAGACTGGCGATGTTGGAGAGAATGATGCGCTTTGTGGGCTGAAGGATCTTGGGTGGTTGGACGCTGAACAGGAATTCGTCGCTGCACGGCTGCCAGTGGATCCCGAGGGCCTTGATGGTGTTGGGTTCGTTGAGCTCGATGGGAATTTTCATTTCAAGGTCCGCCTCAGGAACACCTTCTAGAGCTTCGTTGCTATTAGAAGCCCACTTCCGCAGGTGAAATCCTCCGGCAGAAAAGATGATGAAAAGCTCTTGTCGAAGTTGCTTGGCTTCATCAGCAGAATCAGCACCCGTCAGTACGTCGTCGACGTAAATCCCCTTGATAGCCTTCTCGACTGCATCCGGAAATTGCCCTTGATGGGAGAGCAGAAGCTGCTGTACACATTTTGTCGCCAGATACGATGCGCTTTTGGTACCGTAAGTAACGGTATTTAGACCGTATTCCTGGATCGGCTTGCCCTCTGACCAGCGCCACAAGATTCGAATGCAGTTTCGATCCTCATCGTAGAGAAGCACCATTCTATACATCTGTTTCACATCACCGGCGAGTACAACTGGGGGAAACCGGAATCGCAAAAGGATGTTGACCAGAGAATCCTGTAACACAGGGCCCGCCAAGAGGATGTCGTTGAGGGACTTGCCACTGCTTGTTTTAGCTGAGGCGTCGAACTATCCTCCTTTACGACGCAATGGTGTGGAAGAAAAACACAATTCTCCGATACTGGTGTAGTGGCGAGACTCATGTGCCCGAGGTCGATGTACTCTCGCATAAAAGAATGGTACTGTTGTTTCAAATTAGAGTTTCTTTCCAATTTGCGCTCGAGGTGTAGCAGTCTTTTCTCTGCAATTTCCCTCGATTTGCCGAGAGAAGTAGGGCTGTCTAAGTATGGAAGCCGAACGATGAATTTTCCGGTACTATTACGAATCGTGTGCTTCGTGAAATGCTCTTCGCATCGGATCTCTTCATCGTTGAAGTGCGGAGTTTTATTAGTGTAAATTCCTCCAGTTCCCAGAACTTGCGGAGCTGATCGGAGAGAGGATCATTGGGAGCCGTCAGTAAGCATGAAGGAGCGTTAGTGTGAGGTTGATTGTCGCAGTCTTTGTAGCCACCAGAAACACTCATCCTTATTTAGTATTCTGGAGTACGGGAAGGCAGTCGTCCAAACCAAGGTTGATTGTTCCAGGCTCGAACAGCTGGAAGAAGAGTTTGTTCCCGAGAAGGATGCTGACCTTTCCGGGATGGTGAAATTGGGGATCAGCCAATTGAATCGACCCTGAAATTGGCCAATCCGTGATGTTGATCGGCTTTAACGGGAGCTCAGAAGTAAGTCGCTCAAGAATAATGCACGGCACTACATTCCGATAGTCTGAGCAACGTGAAGCGAATGTAATCACTGCTCCTTTATTCGCGTGCCCAGAAGTATTAGCAATTCCACCGAATTCGAAGTCCACATCTGCAGTGGAGAGACACAATTTCTTACACAAATCCTCAGCGATGTAGCTTGTGTGAGACGCGCAATCAAGGACTGCTCGACAAGCATGTGGACGTCCAAACTTGTCAAAGACGTTGATGGTAGCGGTCAGGAGTAGAACGTTGGTGTCCATGAAATCGGTTGCTCGACAGAGCGGTGCAATCAATGTTTGCGACATCGAAGACGAACCATAGATATTGGTTGTGGCCGCTGTACTGTTGCCTGTCGTTGAAGCGGCAGTCGATTGGAGGGCTTCGTGCAGACGAGTGTGGTGAGGAAGATTACATTTCCGACAATTGCCGGACTGGCAAGGTTCGCCGGAATGTTGCTTCAGGCAGTTCTCACAGAGGTTCTGCCTACGGATAAAATGGAGTCGTTCATCGGAGCTGACATGAAGAAACTTATCACACTGATACAGTTGATGCGGTGATTTTGCACAAAAAAGGCACATTAGTGGAGTAGAGAGGTGCCCGGTGGTGACGAGAGCTGTTGGTCCCCTGGTAGAATGTTTGCTTGGAAAAGGCGTGATGAACATCGGTTTCTTCTGACGAATCGGCTGAACAGATTTCAGTGCGCAGCTTTGGGCATCGATAAACTTCAGGAACCTCTCCAAGGTAACTTGTTCGTCTTTGAGCTCCGACCTTTTTTGACACCACAACTGCTTACTTTCCGGATCCAGTTTTTTGGCTAGAATGTACAGCAACCATATATCCCTTCCTTCCTGATTCATGGCCTCCAGTGCTCGAATAACTTCATCGGACACATCATGTAGGGAGCGCAGACCGGCAGCTGATGGTGACGTCATAGATTGTTGATTCAAGAACCGATGAATGTGCTGTGCAGCGATTTCGAGCGGCTTGTTGTACCTAGTCTTCAGCTTGGCTAGAGCGGGAGCATAGTTGGCGTCTTCTATACGAAGGTGTGATA